ATGCTGTATAAGCTTTATCTCCTATAGCACTGATTGTTAAGATACCAGTTTTTGCCATATATCTCCTTTATGTACGAAACTAAACCCAATAAATTGTGTTACCGGTTTACATACCGATCACATAGCGGTGAAAATCACTTAGATTGGTGCTATATAAAGTATATCTTCTATACCTCTGATTGTTTAGATGCGATTTTTTATATAAGTATGTAACTCCTCTATCGATGTATGCAGATGTATTCAAAAGTAGTAATCTGTCAAAGTAAAATTTGCAGATGTTCATGAAAGGTATGAAGCCTTCGGCATAGCCGAAGACAGCGCTGCTCTTACTTGTTTTATTTCAATTTTTTGCTTCTTATTTGACTTGGAAATTTATCACAATAAAATGCAAAGCAGCTTTAGAGGGGCATTAATGTCAGAGTCGTAAAGGGGACGTTCCGAGAAATGCGATCGTCTTTACCACAATGGCTTATGTACACTGTAAAAAATGCGACTATACAGTTTTCATCTACATATTTTTGTACCACCATCCGACAAAAATCAAATTTTTCAAAACACAGGAGGCCATCAATATACTTACGAGACTAGGGTCTGACGTCAAGGTTTTCTAAGAGGACTTCGAAATTTAATTTTTTGAAAATTCAGTGCAGTGTAGAATAACAATATGGGTACCAAATGAAAAAGAAAATTCTGTGGCAATTAAAAAGCTATCTTATTTTTTTCGGTTCACAAAAAAGGAAGAATAGGAATTGAGAATGTCGTTTTAATTAATTTTTTTATTCTAATTCTATTCTAATAAAGTTAGAAGGACGAAATTCGAGGATGTGCTCGACGGCTTTTTGTATATCAGCGACGATGTCAGATAGGCCCTTTCTATATTAAGGCAACGATATGTAGTTTACAGACTCGAAACCTATTTAACCGATTGATATCAAATTCATAGCATATTTTTGTTCCGATGTCTATTATGCATAGACCAAAAAAAGCTTCCGGTAGGTGGCGCTGGAGTGGAAATTTCTCTAAAACAGTAATGGGAATTTCAAATCACGCGTACAGCTCACGCGTATATGCTCACATATTAGGTTCTTTCGCTAAAAATCCGGACCGGATCCGGTAATTAAAGAATAAGCGAAAAGTTTGCTCTCAAAAATGGAACAAAGCAGGTTTCATTTCTTGCCTATAGCCATTTGGCAGACATTAGGGGTGCTAACGGCCTTTTCTGGGTTACGCTGCCAGATCAGCTTGCTATTCAAAAGAACGTCCAAGTACTGCAGTTCATTTGAGAGCGACACTGCTCCACCGTTTAGTTGTGGAAGTAGGAAAATGGAAATTTCAGTTTTCCTCGTAAGGAGAATCGTGACTTTTTGTCGGATTGCCATTCAGGCCGCATTCTTTCAAACATGCTCCCACAACAGTTCTCCCAATACTTTTGTCTAACGCTAATCCAAAGAGGTTTACAGAATTCTATAAAGACGTAGGAAAACTAACTTTACTAAATATTAGGAAGCGAAGACGTTATGTGAAAACTATGGAAACCTAACACAGAAAACGAGATAAAATATTCCAAATTTCATTTCAATGATCTCCACATTTTTTCGGCCATGGTCAGCAGTGATAAAAATCATAAATTTTGTCCATGGTATCCTTAGAACAATCTTTAGCCATAGAAGACATCTGAGTTAATTTAAACTTATCCCTCAAGAAAGAGTGTTTTCGGGAGCATAAAACTCCAGTTCTCTGCAGATATTGTGCGGTAGGGCATGCTCTACAAATTTTTAGGCTTCTTCGAGAGCTCATTGAACATTTTATTCTAAAAAACACCCTCGTAAAATAATAAGTTCTCACAAGAGACAGCTACAAACAAAACAATAACACAATGTAAAAATGAACGACTGCACTTAGCCATTCCAATTTGCGTCGATCGGAGAGTAAATGAAGAAACAACTTTAAGCTGGATTTAAATATGTACACATTTAAATTAAACACTCTGGTAGCAAGGTATATATCTACATTAGGGTGCAGCGCGCTTTCTGTGTTTCCATCGGAATTATAAAATCTACTATATTTTGAGACTTCAGCCAAAATATTTCAGAAAAATATTCAGATTTGCGTGAGCTGTACCGATTTAAAAATGACTCCAAAAAATCGAGTCTTTTTATAAATAAAATAAGTTTTTAAAATATATATATATATATATTTTTTAAATCACCACAGATGATTACGAGTTAAAAGATCCGAGTCTGCTTGAAAAAGGAAGATTTTTTAGGTTTCTTTAATTTGGTCCAGCTCTCGTAAATCGTAATATTTTTCCAAAGTATTTTAGTTGATGTCTTAAAATATAATAAACTCTATAATTCCGGTAGAAAACGCAACTATTTTTGGCAAGGCACCCTGATGTACATACATAAATACATATGTACATATGTATATACATGATTGCATGATTTCACTGTGATCGTCACTGCACAATGAGAGAGGAAGATAATGGCGGCCGGCGGGTGTAAACGCAATGCAAATGATGGAGATTATTTTTTGCTTTCACACATAATCAATTACTTTTAAATTTTAATCCGAATTCTTAATTATTGCATTTACAATGTAATAAATGTTTTAATACTTTTCTGATTGCGCTTTACTTGCGCACAGTTCAAGATGTGCAAGTATTGGTACACGTGCGCCCCTCTTGCCGTTGGCAATGCAATAAAAGACACGGGGCAATTTTTTCGGAATGAAATTGCGATTTATCAAATTTTAAATTGTACCAGTCGTACTTACTATGTACATTAGGGTGGTCCAAAAATACGCGTAAAAAAGGAAAGGTCGGTATTTTTATGCTCTCACCCCATAGGATAGTTCTATACTGAAAAAAATACCTCACTACTTTTTTTTATTTTGAATTCAAAAAATATTTACAGGTCGCCAAAAGCGCTCAAAGTTTTCCAAAGTTCCCGAAATCTTAACGAAATCTTTAGGAGCATCTAATTTCTGTAACGATTTTTTTACGAATCTTCAAAGAAAATTATATGAAGTGGTTGACACGAACTCGTAAAGAAATTTCTGTACGAAAAATTAAGAAAATTCTGCAAGAAATTCTTCACTGTAGCAGCATTATTTTCATGGCTTTACCGATTTTCTTCCGAAATTTCGTAAAAGAATCGAAGTGTTCACAGTTTATTTTATTTTAGAAACTACAATTCAGAATACTCTGAAGAATGTGTTTGCAGGGTACATATTTTATATGGGGAAAAAAAAACTTTTCGTAGAAATGGTATAGAACTTTTGAAAATCAATATTTCTCGATCGGAAAACTCTGTTTTTTTCAGGAGATTCCCAGTGATAATATCCATTTGTTTATGTTACGATTTGTTTTATAGTAACTATCTTTTGCAGGTCCGCCAAAACCCTATAAAATGAAGTCTCCTGAAGGGAACCAAAGTTTTTCGATCGAAAAATATTGATTTCCCTGAACTCTATGCCATTTCTACGAGAAGTTGTTTTCCCCATAAAAAATACATACTACAATACTTTGAGCGCTTTGTGCGTCCTCTAAATATTTTTTGATTAAAAAAAAAATGCGAGAATTTTTTTCTGATATAGAACAATCTTAGGGGGTGAGAGCATTAAAATTCCTTTTTTTTGTGGACCACCCTAATGCACATATATTAATTTTCGCTTTTTGTTATCAATCGCTGTTTACGTACGGACATATATACATTGTATGAATATTAGTCTATTTTTTTTTTGTTTTTTTTTTTGTGGGCACTCACCTTTCTCGCGCTTGCGTTTGCTCGATAACTTCTGCAGCTGACGTTGTTGCTGCTGCTGCTGATGCTGTTGATATTTACTCGACGCTGCTGCTGCTGCTGCCGCTGCGGAGGATGAGGAGGATGAATAGCGTATCGTTGACGCTTGCTGCTGCTGCTTCTTCGTCGAAGTAACAACACTTGTCTCGTTTAGGTTATTCACAAATTTGCTGCTGACGCCACAATTATCGCCGCCGTTGCTCTCTTTCAGCGGCTGGCGCTGATCCTGAAGCTGATCGCAATTACTATCTTCAATATAAATTACACTCTGTGCCGAATTATGATCGCCGTTTGCGTTATCGTCGCTGCTGCTCTCTACTACAACCTCAGCAGTGTTGACTGTACTTTCGCGGCTGTCAATGTATTGTTGTCGCTGCTGATGTTGTTGTTGTTGTTCTTGTTGTTCTTGTTCAGCGTCAGCAAACCTACTTGGCGAGTGCTTTAAACCCGATGAGGATGGCTGATAGACAATTGTCGATGTGGCAACGGCAGAACTTTCCTGTTGGCGTTGTTGTCGTGATGTCTGCTTTTGCTGCTTTTGTTGTCTATGTTGCGACTGATTGTCGTCGTGATAACGATGCGGACGCAAATATTGTTGTTGATAATGATGTTGCTGCACAAATGGCGATTGATGCTTGCGTTGTTGCTGCTCTCGTTCTCGTTCCTGTTCGTCGTCTTGCGCTGCTTGCAATCGCTCCTGATGCTGCTGTTGCAGCTGAGACTGCTGCTCGTATTGCTGTAGTACGCGCCGTTGTTCGCCCTCGTACTGTACGGGGCGACTGGAGTAGTCGAAATCGGACGCGTTCACAAGCGACGTTTTCATTTGTATTCGCTAACCCAATGCAATGCAAAAATTCTTTGCAATCTTAATGCAATACAATAAAATCGCCGCGTCTACTCGTCGTCGTCGTTATTGTTTTCAATAATGTTGTTGGACGCGCCGTATCGCGTTCGTAAGAGTTGTAACAATTTGTGGTTGCTTTTGTTATTGTAGCCGTTGTCGAATTCAATTTCGACAAATGTCCTCGCAAGCGATTTTCACGTTTCGTCCTCACTGCCAAAGCTGGGGCAATTGGTGTTGCTGTTTTAGCTGTTGTTGTTGCCTGTCTACTCAGACATGTGTTGCTGTCAGCTGCCGTTGTATGTCCGTCGATTTGTAACGCTGCTGCAGCAACAGTTTCACGCGTCATTCGTATTATTTACGAGTTTTATTTTTATTTTTTTGATGCTATTCGGCGCTTCCTTTTGATTTTATAGTTTTGCTCTGTTTTTTGTTCGCATTTCTTTTTTATTTTTAAATTTTATTTCTCAACTTGGTTGGAGTTTTTCATAACTGGTAATTAATAATTTTTTTTTAATTTTGCTATTAAGTTTGCTTGTACAACTTAAGCTTGCGATTCAAATTTTTAAAACTCTATTTATGTCGTTTTATACTGTGTAGTTAAGTTTTGCTGGTGCGTTTAAGATATTTTTTCCATTAAAAAACTAAATTTATCCAATACAATTATTTTATTTACAGTTTGATTAACTGTTCACGCTTTTAACACTAAATTTGAAACCCAAGAAGTAGAACAACTGCAAAGATATGGAAAAAATTAATTTTTATTAATACTTAATTTCTTTGTTTATTTTACAAGTATTTACAGTATTGATGAAAATATTGGTACAGGTAATAAGGAAATTATAGCTTCTGAACGTACATGTATATGTTTATACATTTATAGCTTTCACGGAACTTGTAATGGAAAAATTTGGCGAAAAAAATCGCAAAAATCAACGGTAATTCTGAGATGTCTGTGAAGTATACGGTACGACGCAAAAAGGCGAGAAAAGGGATGTAGTAGCTTTTCAATGGTTCTAGAGTTTTTGAAAAGAAAACAAGTTTTGAATATTTTGACAAATAAAAATTATTATTTTTTTTTAAACTTTTTTTTTTCCTTTTCAAGAACTTTAGTTGTAGTAGTAGATCTACTCAGAACAGTTTTAACTTTTACTTTTTTGACACATTTAACTTTTCCGACCTTTTTGAAAAAATTGTTTTTTCGGCGCAATTTTGTAGAATTTTTTTTTCCCTTCCAGGAACTCTAAAACTATTGAAAATCATTCAGAACAGTTTTAATTTCTATTTTTTTCTAAAAGTAAACTTTCGACTTTTTTGAAAAAGAAAGCTTTTTTTGGTGTAATTGTGCAGAACTCTTTTTTCTTTTTGTACTATTGAAAAGTTGCTAAGAACAGTCTTAATTTTTATTTTTATTTTAAATGTATTTCAAAAAAAAAAAAAAAAATTTAGCGTAGTTTTGAAGAACTTTATTTTGTTCTGCAGTTTTAATTTTTATTTTTTTCAAAAATTTATCTTTAAAAAAAAAAAATTCTTTCGGCGAAATTTCGCAGAGCTTTCTTTTTGCTTTGCTCTAGAACTAGAAAAGCTATTCAGAAAAGTTTTAATTTTTATTTTTTTAAGCATTGAGCTATTTCGACTTTTTGGATTTTTTTCGGCGTAATTTTGTAACTTGTTTTCCTTTTCTGCAACTCGAATTATTGAAAAGTTACTCCGAACTGTATTAAATTTAATTTTTTTTTTTCAAAAATGTAACCTTTTCTTCTTTTAACCCTCCGATGAGTGACAGTGCCGATGACGTTAGATTCGTGAGAAGGTCCTTAGGTCCTACAAAGAGTTGCTCGATGTTTCGACTGTACATGTGCAACTTCTTTGGTATTTATGTTGTCTTTTGATTAAATTAACGTCCTGCATATATATTAGGAATGAAATAATTTGAAGAACAAGTGAAAAAAAATCAAAACATGAAGACAAGTAACTTGTTATTTCTTCTAAAATTGTACAAGGTCCCTAGGGACCTTGTCACTAATCCCCGTACTATATATGTTGAAATCTCAATAACACTCGAACGTGATCCCGTATCCCTTCGAAACTTATTTTAAACGATTCAGCTTAATTTATTCTTGGAATACATGTATAAATTCTTTTCAAAAATGCATTGAACAAAAAGATATAGGCACATGAAATACGAAAAGGTCCCTAGGGACCTTCTCACAAATCGAAGGGTTAAGAAAATTTTGTTTCGTAATTTTGCAGAACTTTCTATTTCCTTCTCAGAAACTCTAGAACTACTGAAAAACTACTAAGAAAAGTTTTAGTTTTTATTTTTTCAAAAATGTTAATTTTTCGAAAAAACTTTTTTTTTTGGCGTTGTCCTGTAATCCTGTACAATCCTGTAGCGCCTTGTTTGAAAGTGTGATTTATATGGTTTATGTTAAAACATGAACCAAATTTTTATAAAAAATAAAAAAAAATTTAGCTTGAAAGGGACGTTTTCTCAACTAACTTTTAATTTAAAGCTCACTTTATTTTAAAGGTTGCTTTAAAATATATAGCTATTTCTAAAGTAAAGAATTTATATTATCGGTTTTTGACGTTTGTATGTTTCTTGGTTGTAAACCAATTTAAAACCGAAAATAAAATGCTTTACTTTAGACACAACCATAAATTTAATGTAACCTTTAAATATAAAGTAAGCTTTAAAGTTAAAGGTTACTCGAGAAAACGGCCCTAAATATTAAAAACAAAACACCACAAAAACAGAAATTAACTTTTGACAGCCTACGTATGTATGTATAAGCGCTTATAATAATTTTTGTCATGCTTTTTTAATTCAGCCCTGGTAATCATATTCTTGTACGGTGGAAACTTTTTTCTGTATGGTACTGTAACTTAGTACAGCGTAAAATAGCACAATAAATGGAAGTTGATTTGATTTTTTGTACCATAAGGTTTAAAATAAACGAAGTGACTAAAGCAAGACAACTGATATGACAAAAAAGTTTAAGTTTTTTGTTTTAATCCATGTAAATTGCAAAATAATTATTTTGGCAGCAGACCTAAGGCCAGTCAGTGCAAGCAAGCCTAATTTGTAAGCGAGTTTTTTTACCAGCGCCTGTTTCACCCAACCGCCAGACTCACGAAGCTTGATCCATTATCTCATATACATACATACATACATAAATGTTTATATGAGTGTAAGCATGTGAATATGGCAAATAATAATGATGACTTAAAATATTTTTATTTTAAGCTCATTTGCAATCCATATATGTATGCGAATAGTATCAAATAATAAAAATTGCTTCGCCAGTATTCTGAACAAAATATAAAATTAACCACGTTTTTGACTCCTAAATTCCGTTGGCTTAATCACAAATAATAATTAAATAATTTTCTATTAAATGATTAGGAAATATATTTTTTTTTTTTCGAGGGCTACAGCAAAACATTTATGTATGTATGTATGCGATACACGTGCCATTAATTATACTGGTAGCCGTTTTCACAGTTAGATAACTTAAATTTTTTGATTGAAAATCGATAGTTAATTTCCGAATATGGGATAACTTTCTACCATAAAAATTATGTATGTATGAATGTAAATATACAATCGCCAGTTATTTCCAAATGTCAAAAAAATAGTTCGCTTGCTCAGAAATTCGTGCAGTCTTTAACAGGGTTTGAGACATAAGATAGTTAATCCTCACAAGAAATATCTCCGCGAGAGATAACTATGTACATATAACCTCAAATCGTTTATGTAGAACTTCCATCGGCGCGCCCGTTGTAGGGCCATCCTGCTGGAACACGCTTGATGCTAAAAAAATATCAATTTTCAAATCAAATATTTGAATATGGAAAATACTTACAAATTTTGATTTTGAATACGAATTTACAATTTACCCTTCGACAGATGCCATTATATGCATCCATTATCTGAACGAAATGTTCGTAGATTGGCACAATTTAAATTCAAGTTTCTATTTTCTTACTACTGACTCTATTTCCCGTAGCTAGTCGTATGGAAGAGGCGAAACGCCAGAAAAGCAAAGCAAGGAAATCTAAGTTCGGTCGAAGCCGAACCTTATATACACGACGCATTTATTAAATCGTTTTCTTTTTCACCTTTCTGTAAACTATCTTTGTATGATAAGTAGAGGTATTTTTCTCCGATCGCAAACATTTTCGATAATATGCTCAGTTAGACTTAATGAAATGAAACAATTGAAGCAAGTTTGGTCGACATTTGTATGTAGCCAAAGTGAGAGGTGCCACGCCCATTTTTCCAAAGATTCTAAGAAATTACTGCAAATATCGCTTTTTAGTGAATTAACTTCAATAGTTGCTGATTGATCGCGGTTTTAGTATACGGCAAAGTACCGTTACATAGGAAGTAGGCGAGGTTACTGTCTGATGTTGCCCATTTCAATATCATCTGTCCTAACCCAATAGAAATGAGCGTACCAAGCTTCGTGATATATTTCTATTTTTACTAGAGTACGAGCGGACGGACAGACAAACATGACTCATACGTATATCTATTTACCTCGACTCCTTTAGGCCCTATAAACAGCCCTTTGCGAACAAAGTTATAATACCCTCGGCACAGCTGAGTTCGGTTACAAAAATTACTCGTACAAACACCGACTGCTCAGATAGACCTTACCAACTGGCTGACCAAAAAATATTTTCTTTACTGATGAACGTCCGGTCACCTCTCCTGGTAAATGCAAAGTGTATCCCGTCCTTTTCAGTATCAGAATAGCAATATAAAACACAGGCGCCTATTAGTATCTGTAACGTAGTGAGGGACATCGGTAGAGAAAATGCTCCAAGATTTTCCTGATCTCCCGCTCATGACACTTCCTCAACCTGTCCACGCTAGTGATTCCCATTTTTAGTGCATGAGCAGCCGCCAGGACGTTTATGGATGAAATACTACATGAGGTAAATGCCTTAATTGCCGCCTGACTGATTGTCGTTTCGATGGACGCCAGCTCTGATGCTGTCCTCATTGCGAAAACCTGTGCTTGAAATATGCTGCAATGGTCAGGTTCTGTTACCATTTTAGAGCCGTCTGCGAAAAAGTTCAGGGAAAGCCAAGATAGCTAATTCACAGCTTTCAGAAAGCTGCAAAGTAGATGTTCTCCTGTGCTTTAGAGTTACTATCGTTTAATCCCATGCAGTCTGCATTCTTCACTATTATCTTGAGATCCAGCCTTGAGAATTTTAGAAACAATTAATGGGATTTTCTCTAAAAGACCGAAGCATGGACGTTGGTTATCGTGCAAGATGTTGACGTTTCATACCGGTATTTCGGCTTCGATGGCACTCGCTCTCAGGGCTAATTCCATACTTAGAAAATGGAGGAATGGTAAGTTTCTCGGTCCAAATCGCCAAATAAGAAAATATACTATATTTGCTATCTAGTATATATTTGGTTCATAAAGATAAGTATGTTTTCTAGTTACATTAGTACACTTGGGCATCGGTACTTAAACGGCAAAATTTTTTTTTGATTTATTATTCATTCTACCAAAGCAGTATTTATCCGCAACTTTCTACTCCAGCTTCTTTTCGGTTGATCTTCTCCCTTGTGACTTGGCTTGTTAGCAGCAGAATTTTTATGCCAGTATTTGTCGAGCAAACAAACAAGAAAAGAAACCTCAAAAAATGCGAGATAATAAGTTCAGACAAAACCTATCGACATCAACAAAACCAACAACTAACTACT